ATCGTTTATTATGACCCTGGAGGTAAATAATTTTTAATTAAAATAATCCTTAATTAAAGTAATCTTGATCACGTTATCTCTCCTCGCTCCCGTTAATTGTAGCGTCTTATCGGTGCTACGGATAAGCTACGATTGTTTCGCGTGTTAACAGCAGCCGAGATCGATACACGTATGTGCGAGAGAGGGAGATAATTATTACACATGCGAGCTTACGATTATTCGATTGTCATTGACACGACGCAAAATCAAGTGTTTAAGTAGCCGTGGTAATTAGTACTATCTGTGAAATATCGCGTCCGTGTCACGTGGTGTCACGCAACACGCTTCTTCCATTGTTTGCATGTTCGAGAAAGTCGCGAGACCGCGAGGTTCGTAAATCTATGTGTTTCAAATCCCAACAAGTGTCAGAACACCCATATAAAATAATTGCTTGCATATTACAGTTCTTTGTAATTACTTTTTAGTATTATCGCAATAATTTTGATCACTATTACGCTGTTTGTACAAAAAGAAGGAAAATAAATATGTTTAAGGGAAAATTGAGATTATTCTTCGAAATTTGTTTTCAGAATTGTAAGGATCACGTTGCTAATTGCAGTATCGCCGGAATATTACATGAATGTATATCGCCTCGAATAATCAAGGGGAAATCCAAGGAGAGGGGAAGCAAGAATAGAAGTGCTACAAGTAATGGCAATTATTATAGAAAAACATGTTTTACTGAGAAAGCGAAATTACAAATTTGATAATGTCTTTCTTGGAATCGAAAGTAATGTGCTTGTTCTTTAATAGGAACCAGTAGCCGAATGGCGGTCATTCAACTGATCAACTTAGGTATCACGCAAGTCCTAGTTAAACTTTTAATAAATCTGCAACACGCAGATAGTATCATGAGCGAAGTACTTACTCAAGACATCCTCTGGATTTTGGGACAGGTGATTTTTAAAGGCGATGCATTGTAATAAGCTCCTTTTTCATTTTATTTTGCAATTAGGAACAATTATTTTGTTTGGTTCGCTGCTTCTGCGTGAACAGAAGGAAATACTCTTGACACGTTGTATGCCTGCACAGCAGAACTTTTATCGATTGCACTGCGTATGTCTACGAAAATATTTTTAATTTTATTTCTTTTACAGTACGGAATTTATTTTAACTATTTTAAACTTTTGACATTGTAATTTTATGCGTTACACTTGTAATATTGTTTTTGTTCTGTGATGGTATTAAAATCCTTAAATTATGAAATATAATAAGAACTTAAAAAACATGCAATTTTTTAAAGTGTTTCTAAGGAATACAAATTGTTAAAATATGTTTTTAGGTGGCTCAAAGGGACCAGAAGTTTGTGTCAAAAATGAAACTGCTCAACTCCATAAAAGTGTTCCATGCGCTGTTAAAGCAGCATTACAACAACAGTAAGACGTTATTACCGCTGTTGTTGATCATCAAGACTCTTGCTAAAAACTGTAAGGAACAATTTGTTTTATGCATCTGACAATTCGCTTATGTGTTTGAGGATAATAAAGTTATTATATTCTTTTATATAGCTTTTTCCTTGCAAACACTAGTAAAGGACGGTATTACTGGCACTTTGGAGAAAACATTTGTCAGTGTCGGTTATACGCCACACTTGAAACTGAAAACATTATTAGAGTGTTTTAAACATTTAACGACAAATAGTAAGTATACGTGTGTTTACGTACAATGTATTTTATTTTTCTTTACTAATTATTTTTTAACATTCATCATATTTCATTTCTAGAACTATGCTGTAATAAATTCGTTAAGGCGGGAATAGTACATCTGCTTATGCGAATTTTCGAGAGATGGGAGAGATTCGATGGGCAGATCCGCTTGAAGATTTGTAATTACGCTTTGAACACGCTTCAGCATCTCTGCGTAATAAGTAGGTTTATTAGAAGTAGACTCTGTAAAAAGTTCTCCGAAAGATACTCTCTCTGTAATTGTTTAATTATACATTTATCATTCTCTATTAATGTTCTTTTGAAAGTTATCGGTATCACATGCGTATACTTTTTGCCTGACATTCTAGAAGCTGGAAGGAAGGCTATCAAGTCGAACAATGGCCTACAGTTACTCTACCGGTTCTGCATGAGTTGCCCAGAGGATAAAGCTTACGACTGCTTGCTATCGCGTATTTGTGGAATAATCAATCAGTGTCTGGACAAAAAGGAACTACCGGTGCCCGAAATGTCGCCCGCGAGGTGAATGAAACGTTCGAGGTCATCTCGACCAATATAAACTGTACCTCGTGTGATAATCGTAATATGTTTATTATATTTCAATATTTTCATAGTGTCTTTATATAAAGAGTAATTATAAATATTATAGGTTGATTACTTTTTGTGTTGCTACAGAGATCAAGACGAATGAATAGTGGTAGCTTTTGTTGTAAAATATTATCGGATTAGTTGAGAACTATAATGCATTCAAATGGCGTGATAATGCCTGATTTACGATTATGATTAAGTGCATTAAATTTTTGGTCGGTTCTCTTTTTTTGCATGCAGATTTGTTCTGCCCGAAGTGAATGTCAATAGGGCGAACAGTGCTGAAAGCGGTAGCGACATTGACAGCCAGGTGTGTCACTTCTTCATAAAAAATTAGATTGACATAACGCGCTATAAAAGTAATATTTGACACGTTACACTGATCGAAACATGCGTTTACTAATAATATGATGTGAGAAAAAAAATTGTTAACAAAATTAATTTAATTCACTTTTATTTCTTTCGACAAAAAATATATGTATTTAAATCAAACATATTATATTTGACTTAAATACGCATGTATTCTTTAACGAAAGGAATAAAGACATACTGAATTAATTTAGTCAAAGAAACAGTTCTTCTCAGTGTATATTTCCTCTACACAATTTCTACTTTCCGCAAGATTAAAAATTTATAATGTCAAAATTCTTACTAGAATATCAAATGTTGCTACGAATATTGATTTCTGTATAGGCAAATAGCGTGGCTTCGATTGGTAGACAGTATAGCGATCTTGATTCTGGGGATGATGAGGAGAGTCACGATTCCAGAGATACAATGGACAGCGAGATTCACATGGGCAATGAGGTGGACGAGAACAAATTTTTTGCCGGAGTTTTTACCTCGCAGAGATCCGAAGAGGATCTTGCTGGGTAGGTGAAACATCATTTCTACAGACGTACATCGATGTCAATTATCATTATAAAAATCTCTTTTTTTAATATCAGATACCATACGTTCTTCAAGGAGCTGGGAAATTTGCGATCACAACTAAATATCGTCGGTTCGACAAACGGCAAGCTAATCGATCTTTCTTTGATAGATGATGACGAGATAAATACGCCGCTCGCGAAAGCGGGAAAGACAAAGACCTCAATCAAGGACTTTTCGAAATCTAACGGTACGACGAAGAATCAATTGGTGAACGGCACGCTCAATTTGAAGGTTCTAAAAGATATGTCTGCAAACGTCACGGATCGGCAAGCGTATTGCGCCGTGGCGAGCAGAGTGAGAAGCGTTATAGGTTTCATCAAGGTCGCCTATCCGGACTTGATCGGCGGCGACGGTCTGGGAAAAGTAGAGCCGCTTAACACTAAGGACAGGAAGGTTTGCCGTGCGAAATTGATAACTTGTGTGGAACGAGGTCTCCACACTGCCACCACTATCCAGGAAGTCGTTTATGACCTTGATGCACTCGCAAACTCCTCCTCCCGAGGAACGTCGGACGACGAGTGGCTGTTTGGCAATAGGGACGAGAAGAGGATTGGCAAACGCAATGTGGACACGGCACGATTACAGTTTGAGTCCAGATTTGAAAGCGGCAATCTGAGGAAAGCTATTCAGGTACAGTCGGTCCGCTACTTGCGCTTTATGTAATTGATTATGTTCATATTACGTAAGAGACTTCATAGTGACTTAGCGGCTTGCAATTTCTGCAAGTTAATCCGAGGGTACATATAAATTAATTTCTTTTTCGTTAAATTTTGCTACATTAATATTTAACGTCTGTTTTCTCCTTAGATAGGTCCACGAGAATACGATCTTATCTTGACGCCAGACGTCAATAGCGGTTCCAGACATCAATGGTTCTATTTCGAAATCTCTAGCATGGAAGCGAATGCATACACGTTCAATATAATCAATTGCGAGAAGACGAACTCGCAGTTCAATTTTGGCATGAAGCCGATACTATTCAGCGTTACAGAGGCGCAATGTGGTAGGCCAGGTTGGGTGAGGACCGGTGTGGACATTTGTTACTATCGAAATTGTTATCAACGTTCCGTCAAGGGAAAAACGTACTTCACGACATCCTTCACGGTTACGTTTCCGCACGCTTACGATGTTTGTTATCTGGCGTATCATTTTCCATACACGTACAGTCGGCTGATGACTAATATCTGGAAGTGGACGAAAAGTGTCTCCGTAGCGAGCGTATATTTTCGTGCGGAGACGCTCTGCGAGACTTTAAACGGCAACGAAACTCCTGTACTTACCATTACGTCACCAGATTCCAAGACCAATCCTATACATGTAAGAAATTTTTCAGATATATATAAATCTTCACATGTGACAATAAGTCGCTTAACACAGCAAGTCAGCAAATATATTTAAAGCTAAATATCATTTCTCTTTCAGACACGAAAGATGATTTTTTTAACATCCAGAGTACATCCTGGTGAAAGCAACGCTTCTTGGGTGATGCATGGAACTATGGAGGCTCTCCTAAGTGACAATCAGTACGCCAACAGTTTACGTGACGATTATGTGTTCAAAATAATTCCTATGCTAAATATAGAAGGAGTCGTGAATGGCTGGTGAGTTAACGATTATATATATTTTTATCAAACCGCTTTTTTTTATTAAACAAAAGCTGTGATGGAGACTTTTAATGTGCTTAATTTTAGCTAAGACTTTCTAACTTTACATTTAAGGATATATAAGGGAACACCTAATAGCAAACGCGTGATACCATAAGACTGTAATCGTACTTTTATTAAAGTTTAGTACACAAGTCGCACATTCGTGCCGTTGTACACAAAATTAATATGAAAGTGACTTACCGTATAGCTAGAGAGCAACGTTTCTCATTGATGAAACTACGTACACCGATCATCATACGTCTGGATGACCGAAACATTTACGATCAACTCTCGGCGATCGCTTTCACGACGTCCATTACGTATTCCAAAATATTTTGGGAATCGTTTGGCTGTCGAACGTTTCGTCTTGCAGACGTATAGATATGTTAACTATGATGATGATTACCACCTTATAAAGATATGAAACGCTGACGGAAGCTGGCAATCTAATTAAATTATGAATCATTGGACTTTTATTTTCGTTTCTTTATTTTGTCTAAACTTTGTTATTAATGCTGAAAATGAGAATTTAATGAGATAGAAACGAGGAATAAATGTAATGTGATGATAATGAGATATCCGCCGGCGTCATTGATGATAGAAAATGAGAGCTGAATAATCAAGTAAATGCCCTTGCGAAAATGTAAAAGCTTGTCGAGTAACGTCGGCAGGAGAATAATTCGTCTTTTCGATTGACATTACGGTTTTCCTTTTCGACATCTTTGATAATATCGTTTCGGAGCCACGGTGTAACTCATTCTCGTTCCTTTCAAACACCGAAATTTCAAGGGTTTGAAATAATCATCTCTGCCTGCCGCCGACCGAGAAAGCTGATAATAGTGCCTCTCTGATTCGAAACTATGAGCAATGTATCGGGTACGCCTTAAAGTTAGTGCTAAACGGCGAGCGGCGACAACGGTAGCAATCTGTTTGATCCGCATAACAGCGACAGCTCGCTCGTGTCACGTGTGCAAAACGCACTATAATATACATATACATGTATATATATATATACCTAATTCCTCAAAAATGTCGATTTGTTTCTGTCACTTATAAAACGAAATAACGCGACGTTGCCTAGGAAGAAGTAAAGCGTTACTTGGACGGAGGGTCTAATACTTTGCCGTTGGTGCGCACTTTGATGTTGAACCTATAGGCCGGTTCCGCATCTGGCAGGATCGTGCTGCTGTCGTCGTCCTGGTCCTTCATCATCGCTGAGTCCGCCGACGACGCCGCCGTGTCCACTGGTTGATCGTTTACGTAATCCTGCGCGGTGTCGTACGGTCCAATCGTATGAGCGTCCTCTAGACCATTGTTCGGTAATTCAGTCTCCGTGGCCAGGTCGCCGTAGTCAGGGGACTCGCGATGCTCCATCTTCATCTCCGACGAGAAGGAGGAGGAGGGGGCGGAGGAGACAACGGGACGGGAGACCGATGGCCGCAGGACCTCGCGAGTCTCGAGACCGTCGAAAACGCTGTCTTTGCGCGCTTGGGACGTCACAGCGACATGCCCGGTGAACAGGCTCGCGATGTCCGGGATGTGCTCCGGTCTCATATTGTCCAGGTCGCCGACGGCCGTGCGCTCGCGCTCATTACCGTCGTCGAACAGCGACGTCGCCGCTGCCGTCGTTCCCGTGTGTTGATACTGCTGCTGTTGATACTGATTGCCAGATGCGGGAGCGGCCGTGGTGATTAGCCTGTTGACGACCGGGTCCTCTGATAGTTTCTCATCCGCGGATGTATCCGCTTCCGGTGGTGCCACCTCATGCTCGTTTTGAGCGTTGATACCCGCATGGTGATCGTCGATGTTGGTGCTGTCAGTTTCGTGATCACTCGCTTGGTCGTCGCTGGCTGGCGCCGAGGTGGTCGTGATATAGGGCCTGTGATTTCTGAAAAAACAAAATTTACAAGATAATATCACCATCGCTGTTTGACAAGAAATGAAATTATTAATTTTTTCAAAATATAATGAGAATATTTACAGTTAGCGTCTTATTATTAGTGGCTTAATTTAAGCGCCGCATTAATAGCAGAAGAAAGCGTAGCTTTGTTGTCAATGGATTAAAGTAAATATTTTTATATATAGTAGTTATCTGCATTGAGTGAAATTATACATGTATAATGTGTGTATGTGTGTAGGAAATATATGTGTGAGCATTCGTGAATGTCGTATATATACGTCAAGAAGCGAGAGAATAACTACGTTATTATATGTATATAAGAATAAGCTGTAAAGGCATTTGCTGAAATTTTCGTATCGTGGCTGAGCTATTCTCATTCATCGACACTTCTATCCCGAAGCTATTAGCTATTTGCGAAGAAAATCCCGACAAACTGGTTTAACACTATAGCGAGTAGTAATCGTTCCCCATCTATCGTGAATTGCGGAAGAAAAAGCATTTCTCGTTTCAAGCTACTTCTGTCTCTCGCTAAACTGCACGGAGAAAACAGTTTGTCCCGGTTACAAGTATCACGTCGTTTCACGCCCTCATAAGCTTTAAGTATTTGCTAAAAAATAGATTCAATTTCTACGTTCCACGAGATTGAAATTATAGTAGGTGCGACACGGAATATATCGATGGAGTAACCACTTAATGTAATCGTGGGATAGAGTTCCTGAAATCATTATAAGATTCATATAAAATCCTTATGTATAATTACGTATGCAACTACAAGGAATAATTGTATAATATATCGTTTATTTTACTAAATAACTTCATATATAGTGAAGAAAATTATTTTTCGTCAGATGAAATTATATGAAATTAAATAAAATCATGTAATCTGTGGGACAATATTTCACCTAGTGATTACCCCCTCGGAATATATTTACGCGAATACATTCATATATTCATTCATAAATATATGTATATAATAATAAATTTTCATTCGTCGTTAAAGTCAGCCATCCCGCATACTTCGGTAGCTGGAGGGATAAACACGTTCAATTATTGCGATATGCACCTGCATGGCTTATCGCCGGAGGGTTATTTACTTTTTGTCCGTGCATAAGCGAGATTCGCTTAGAGTACATCGGTATTCCCGGGCTCCCTTTTTCTCTCTCTCTCTCTCTCTCTCTCTCTCTCTTTCTCTCTTCTTCCCTTCGTGTATTTTTGTGACAAGTATTATCTCACCTCTTACCCCTGAGTCGCGGAGACTGGAATGCTGCCGTAGTTGTAGTAGTAGCATCTTGTTTGCTCGCAGATAAAGTCCTTCACGAGAGTGCAATCCTGCGCCTCCCAGGCTAACGTAGGTGCTACCATCGCGACGCATCCGTCCGCGCTGCCGCTGTCGCCACTGAAATCGAGAAACTCGCGTTTTGGAATTTAAACGAGAATACCTGTTTTGACGTTAGCTATTCCATGCATGAGTTTCCGGGTGTTAGAACTGCGGGAGAGAGTGGCTGATAACCACGTTGCTCGGCTAACAATTACGGGTGACTAGTATGCGACTCTTCACTCGTGAAAAATGATAAAAAGTTATATTGGTTCTTTGAAATTATACGGCGTTATTCATTTTTAAGTCCAGTGGATATTAAATTAATTCTTAACTAATACGCTCGATTGTCTCCTGGCTTAATTAACATTTTTTTTTTCCTAATTAATTTAATACACAAAGTACATTAAATAGTACACATTTTGAAGATATTACCTTTCACGCGCTACCCTCTGAGGTTCGGTGCCGGGTGGTACGTCGGCAGGTCTGTTACCAGGTCGCTTCAGCATGTAGTCGAAAGTGACGTTGAACGGCAGTCCTGTACTCATCCACAAGAACATGTCAGTGCCTAGTTTGTTGCCAGAGGTCCAAAAATCGTATTTCGTGTAACCGGCGTTCTTCAGATATTGCGTCATCGTGTCGGCCTTTTCTTTCGTTTCGAAAGATGCCAATTGGAGGCCTAACGAGCGGCAATACTGATACGCCAGGAAGTAATTCAGTTCTGGACTGTAGGGATTCATTCGTGACACAAAGTATTGTATGCCATCCAGCTGGATCGTTGTGATCCTCTGAGCTGCAAATGAAACATTGTATCTTTAATATCTGCAAAAGTCGCTTTAATATCGACAAAAGCTGCGTTTACATCACGTCTTATTTTAAACCATGTTAAAACTGTACGATGAGGATGCATTCAATTGTAGGACGTGTGCGAAATTAGGGCAAGTTAGTTGATATCATTCTCGGAACGATAATTCGACGTACGTTTGGACTTGGCTTCGAATTTACACACACAATAACAACGAATATAATAATAATTATATTCTTATTAAAGAATTATTAATTTTATAATAAAATATACTAATTCATTCTTTTATCTCTCTTTTATAATCTTTTACATTATAATCTCATTACAATATACATATATTAAAGCTTTTTCAATTTACTTGATTAAAAAAATTTTTTCTAGAGCAACTTATGGTTTATCAAAGGCATGTGTCTGTCATTCAGTTCCGACAAAGCCACAAATGGTAGTAGAGATGAAAGAAAATGCGTTCAGTGAATATTAATGTAGTATCCTATTTTAGTATTGTATTCCAAGCTCACGATCAAGAACCGTTATTATTATTAAAATATCTCTACGTCTTTTAATATAATAAAATAAGATCGTTAATATGGAAATAATAGTATATCAGTCAAGATTTTAACTTGGATATTTTTTAAATAATTTTATACTAGGATTAGTAATTTACTTCGAAGGTTTCGATATTCGAAATTAAAAAACTCGGCATTAAAATTTTCAAGAAAGTTTCAAAGCTTTAAAGCTTTGATACTTGCTTTAATCTTCGAAATTTCGACAAATAAAAAATATACAATTATTTTAATATAATTAAATTAATAGTAACAAATATATTTTTATAAAAAATATACGGATATATTTATGAATATAATTTCATTTTTTCCCATTCGCATGAATATATTTTTCAAAGTGTTGAAGCTTTGAAGGTATTCTTTGAAAGTTCGGAATTCTTAGAACATTCGAAGTTGTCAAAAGTAACGGTCCTAATGATTAACTTCATTATCATAAACGATTCTAAGAACTCAGCAAAAGATCGTATAAATTTATACGCTAAGAAGCACCATTTTTATCGTATTATAATATAATACAATAGTGATACAAGACGTAACAAAAAGAACAAAATTGAAGCGACTATTCTAAAGTCATTCGTTTCATAATATGATTTTAATTTCACTCTAAATGCGTACTTTGATGCGGCGTATTTTTAGCCGGCTTCACAATGACTCGAAGCTTTATGACAAGGACAGTATTCACACGATATATCAAGTTGCGGGTTCATTGAACCGCGACGGCTATTTGGTTAACTGTACTTATGAATTATGACGCTCCGTGACCCCCGAATAGCTCCATAGGTGAACGAGTGTCGCAACTAATACTAATCCCTCACATTGTTTCTAGTTGCGATTGTTCTCTCTGTTCTGTACATATGATATTACTGTATGTCTGGCTGTGAAGACAGACTATGATAAGAAAAATGGAATTTTTAAGTCTTGCATTTGGAGAGATTTTTTAGAGACAGAGAGAAATGCGAGAGGTACCGAAATGCTTGGTAATTATATGTTTGAGTGAGTTGAGATATTTCTTGGTACTCTTACGTAAGAGTTACGAAACAAAAGAAGGCAAGAAGAAAATGAGTTCGTACCGAACATATAGTCATGAAATTTAAAAGGCTGAATGTGTGACTTAACGAGATGGAATTGCAAGATTAAAAGTACCAAATACCGGTGAAAACACGATGTGAAAAGATCTACAATACAACATATTGTTTGTTTGTTTAATTTTTTCAACCGACGAATGGTTCGAAACTTTCTTTATTGCCCCATCCTGAAGAATCTCGGCGGGAATTGAAGCGGGAATTGATCTGAATTTCCCAAGAGGGACCGATTTCGCGCGTGCATGGACCGCGTCATTATACAACGGGCGGCGAAGCAAGACGATCGGTGCAAGATATATCCGTTCGGCCGGTTGGTAGAAGTCTAGTCACGGCTCTGGATACTCCGTAGCGGCGCATCCGGAGCAAAAACGTTCCGGATCGTGAAGTTGGACGTGCAGGTGGTGGTAAATGACCCGAAGGCCTTGAGACGTCTGCCGCCGGTGTGTGCGCGCGCGAAGAAGAGGCGACTAGCCGCTTTAACTACAGCTTCGTTCACGTAATGCGTTCCCGTCGTTCGGTTAATGATACTCAACGAGATTCCCGATCCCAAAGGGACGAGTCCGACGTGCACGCCGCTCGAATTTTTATAAACGATCTCGATAAACGTTTATCGAATGTAATCTACTTTCTGTCTCTTTTATTTTTAATGACTGCAAGTAGCTACGAGGCTTTAAGTATCTTTCACGCGCAGGGTTGTCTCTTGGATGTGATATCACTTTTACTTGCGGAGATTTCAATATGAATCGTGTGCGTGAATAAGATTTAATTTTTTTAATATGTAAATGTATATTTTTTTTAGAAATAAGAGATTTTTAGTTTATTTATTATTCACACACCGAAATATCTAAGCACTAAGATTTAAGCTTTAATTGAGAATATACGAGATTTCTGTTATTCAATTAAATTACTCATTACTATTTTTACAGTTAGAAAGTAGTATTTTTCTATCAAGTCAATTTTTATAGACTCTGAATACCGCATTATAACGAAGAGAATTTTGAGAGGGTAGAAACTCTTTGAAAAGACGCGATATGCCTGGTGCATTATGTTGCTTGCATGTTCTGCCATCCGGTTGTTTCCGGTCTCAACTTTGAATGCACTAACAGTTGGCGCAGGGTTTTTTTTTAATGACTTTAAGATGCGTGTTTTAGTAACGTTGAGTAACGTAGAAGTATTTTTAAATACGAAACTATATTTAGCGGAAATATGAAAAGCAATTGATAAGAATAGAAAAAAAATAGAAATTTTAAATTTTAAAAATAATGAGTATTTGTAGCTGAGAAAAATGTATTTAGAGAAAGACAGACCGAATATACAGTATACATAAAGAAATATATATATATATATATATATTTAAATATATTATTGAATCTTAACAAAATATTTATAATAAATCGCTTATAATGAAGGGAGAATAAAATATTTAAATAATTTAGCCACAAATATTCATAATTCGTAATTCAATTTTACAATCTCATCTTTGTTGTAATTTTGAAAATTTCTTCAGTATTGAAATACGTGATTATGTCGTTTTCACGAATAACACTGCGCGTTAAGTGGATAATCAGAAGATTGTGCGGAGATGCCGATCGAGAGGTCGAGCGGAAGAGTACACTCAACATGCCTATGCTGAAGTTAAGAGAACAATCATTTCATAATAATGAAGCCGTCACTGCGGGTGTTAAAGTGAGCACGAACGAGCCTGCGTGTCGTGGTGTAAAGGGTACTAACCTGAGGCGAAGGCCGCGACGACGAAGAGCAACAGGATGATCTTCATGTTAGCGTGCCGATTACTGTGCTGGCAGTGAGGCGATCAAACAGTCAGTCGTTTCCGTTTCCGACTCTCGTCCTCTCTCTCTCTCTCTCTCTCACTCTCTCTCTCTCTCGGAATACACCGGATGTTAGTGTTAGGATCGCGTTCTCGGACTGGCCTCGCGCTGCGCCGTGAGCCCCCTTAAGAGTCTTCTGCCCGGATCCCAGAGGAGGGGGTCGTTGAAGATGATTCACTGGCTAACCTAGAGCAGGAGTCCAACGCACGAAGGGGACGGCGGCGGCAGCGGCGAGGGCGACGAAGACGACAATGATGACGACCATATGAAGACAAATCGAGAAGTAATTGAACCGCGTTACGAGGAAAAGAAAAAAATCGCGGGTGACAAGATCGAAGGAAGGACGTACAATGGATGTTCACGCTGAACAACGTGGAGGCATGCCCCCGCGATCGATGACGCCACGCTTGATTTGGCACGGATCGTCCTTCTCCTTCTCTTGACTGCGAAGATGATGTGCAAAATCGAGAATACACATTAGAAGGAGGACCGAGGGAATGCTTTTATTCGCGCGGTCGTAAAATGTCCGAGAGAGGTAATCGTGGACGTTTAACTGCAGAAAATCTGTCTCGGCGCAGATATGAAAAGATGTATTGTCGAATACTTGACATGTCGTTTTTAACAATTATTAGCCATTCAGATAACTTTGGTAATACTTGGTTTCGCAATTTTATTCTCTCACTATATAAATATACTAAATAATACACACACACACACCTTCATGTCGGATAATAAGTCAATCAACCTTCCGATCGATCATTAGTCGTTAAAGCAAATAATTATTTTTGAAACAAAAACCGCGACCACTCGAGTTGTCGGAGGAGCAGCCACTTGTCAAGCGTGCTCTGCATACCCTCTCGTTGGTGCAATTGTAAATTGGCACAACGTGTGATTACGTCGGCTTAATTATATTAACTAGCAAAGTCGTCGTATGAATAATGTTTACTCGGCGAAGAGGTATAATCCATTTGTAAGCAGTATATCGCGCGGACATGAAATAATGGAAGGGCAAGTAATAGCAAGAACGTCGTTATCCCCATATCGATCAACGTAGCGTTTACGTTAATCCCATTAATAACATCTGCGCGCTCGCGCTTACTTTGTTCCCGACACCGTAAATCCTCCTTCGTCGTAACGCCGTCGCTTCTTTCGCTCTCGCGATACGGAATTTTACTTTGCCGCGGTCTTCACGGTTCTCCGTGGATTTGTATCGACGGCGAGCGGCAAAAAGACGTCGGTTTCAAGGCAGACTTCATTTCTGAACGCCTCCTCGAAGGCATCCTCTCGTACGCCCCGATATCATCTATCCCTAAAAATCCACCTCACTTCATTCGTCAGCGAAACGACACGCACGATCGTGCCGCTCAAATCCAACGCTAATTGCAACAAATCGCCTGCCTCCGAGAAGGAAATCTGTATAATTATACCTTCGATCTACGGAAGACCGGCTCGTGAACATTGATACCTGCGGATGCCTGGGCCCCGAGATTTCAGCGAATAAACGGGCCCCGAGTGCTGGACTCGATTATTATTAATACCTATATACGTAATCTAGGCTCATCCGAGTACTCGAATCCGAAATATATCTGTCCATCTAATAATAAACCTCACTCGACTGAATCAAAGCGAGCTATCACGTATATATACTTGACGTGAAGAAGAGGGAGGCGATGAATGTGAGTGCACCAAGAGCGCTTCAACTGGTTGCTTCCTTCGCGTCTCCTTTGGCGCCGTCTTGTTCTTGCGGCGCTCCTTCCCGCGCTCAACTTCTTTCGAAGCGCATCGTCATCGCGAGACCCGCTGGAATTCTGGCTCACCAACATGCACGCACGCACGCATGCACGCACGCATCGCAGATATTGCGGCGCGGCGCGTGCGAGGACTACCGGGCGCGTCTCAATTAAGCTTTCGTGTGATTAATGATATGAGATCGTATCGCGAAACGCGTCACTCCGTCCCCCGTGAACGGGGCGTATTAACGAGTTAGCGCATCGCTCGTGTGTCATACGTTCCACTTTGCACAATGTTTCATCGATCGATCAATGAGAATGTATGTATATTTCGTATTCTTAATGCGCGCGAGACATCGACATTTTATCGGGACCATCGTGTCAGGTCTAATTGAAATTTGTGTAATAAAGTATTATTATTATTATTATTAAATTCTGTTTTATTATTATCGGTTTATAACGTGTTCCGCCGACACACCCCGATTCTCTTAACGATATAAGTGTACGTTATATTGTTGTTGCGCAGGTATTATATAGGGCGTCCCAAAACTGATAATAAATATTTCAAAGACAGATTCTTTGTCATATTTTATAAGACGAAAAGTCAAATACAAAAATGCCGAGACTGCGATAGTTTTCAAATGAGAAGAGTTTTTAAAAATATAAATGATAAGGCTATAAGACTTTCGCGCGCTCAGAGATGGCAAGATCAGTGATAGTGTAGAATTTTGTTATTGTCAAAAACATGAAATTAGAGGAAACACTTTCATATAATTCGATTTCGTCATTCCTGAGTGCGTGAAATTTTACTACTGTCATTCGTAATTTTACTTAACTCTTTTCCCATTTGAAAACTTAGCTTCGCTATTTCTGTACCAGACCCAATTTTTTATTATCTGATAATTATCTGCGACGATTATTAAGCTTAGTCTAATGTTTCATCCAATTGGGTTCGCTCATGCCATCATCATAAATGAGTCCATGGGATGAAACATCAGATTAAGCCTAATAACAAGATAACCAGAAAATGAAAAATTGGACCTTGGACTTTTCGTCTCAAAATGTTACAAAGAATCTATCTTCAAAATATTTATCGTCAATTTTAAGATATTTTGTACATGATAAAGAAGCTGGGCAATGATAATGTAGCAATACTGAACTATCGTTAAGAGTTACAGAATACCGGGATACTGGACTTTCTCTATAAAGAATGCTTCACGATCATATAAGATTGTAAAAATTTGTTACTCCCAATGTTGGCTATTCGATATGATAAATTGTTTTATTCGCGTTTAAATTTCCTGTTTTACTTTCTGTTTTCTTGTTCCGATTTATTTATTTAATGTACATCTTATTCTCTCAATGACATTTACTCGCAGCAAAGATTCTTTATCTTCAAACAAGCGTGTGAAAAAACTTGTTTAAATATTTAATAAAATCATTTAAACGTGTACGTTTTATTCGCTCCGCTATGGTTTGACAAATGTTTCCGCGGAGTAAATTATTAATAGAGAAAAGATTTTACACGCGCGTTAAAGCAATGAAGCAGTAACACCGGTATCGACTGCGTTGGCGCAAGTTTGTATCGATAACGCGAGTCGCAAAAAGGCTCGCATCTCAAGGTAGGCTTCATTTCTGACCATGTGTTCGCGTCTGATCGCGAGAGATCGATCCACCTGCTCTCGGAATACATCGTGAGCGAACATAGGCTTACCCAGTCGTTTGATTACAATATCGAAACCGGTACGAGAGAGGAACCGATGCGTCTTTACGTCCCAGAAAACGCAGCGCGTCTTCCATGCATCTATGTATCCCCCTCGTACCTCAACCCCCTCTGCCGTCCTTTTTACGGTATTATCTCTCTCTCTCTCGTGAAGATGCTGCCTAGTGGCGGAATTACCGGATCAATGATCAGATACGCGACGTGTTATTTCTGGTACGCGGCGCGCTGTGCGGGCGATCGTGAGCAAAAAGGACCTCGCGTGACATCCAAGACCTACCGCACAACGGAAATCGTCTCTCTATTTATGTCTCTGTCTCTTTCTTTCTCCCTTCGGCTCCGCGCAATGTCCGCCTGTTGCAACTCTCGCACACGGGAGGATGCCGTGCCGCGAGCTTAATGACAGGGTAGCGCGCCGTGACGGTTTCCTTCGTGGACCCCGATTCAGGAATGCAGATGAAGAGGCGTTTCGCTGTTGCCGCTACTTCATTAAATGTATTTGATACAGGCCTGTGTGGATTTTATTAATGGAGAAAAGAGAGAGTGCGCTTTTATACAGGAGGGGACTCTCCATGCCCTTTGTTGATCAAGAAAGATTAATCGCGCTTTCGCATTTATATTATATTTTCCTTTAATACCGCGGATGAGTTACAATAAAATTAATCGGTTTTCGCGCTTGCAGGCTCGCCCGAGAGAAATGGGATATTCGGCTGCGGGGGGAACTTGTTCAGATTTCTGTGCATATCAATCCGTGTACCGTGAATACCTGGGCTTATATACCTCGCGGCGCAAGTCACGTTCCGTTGGTACCTTGGTATAGGTCAGTTTAACAGGTTGAATTCCCATCGTGGCATTCCCGTGGGAATGCATCGCGTCCGCTCGAGTGCACTTAAGCCCGGCGATACTTACGGGGTTCTCTGCGCTGTATGTGATGGTGGGGTGAGACTAAAGCAGAAGTTCGGTGTACTGGATAAACAAGCGATTCTTCAGCAGCACGACCACCATCTCATCGTCGTCGTTGTCTTCTCGCGTCCTTCCGTTTTCTCGTACCATTACTTTTCTCTTTCGCTTCGTTTTCTTGTCCATCGTCTTCTTCATCTTCTTCTTCTTCGTCTTCTTCGCTTTCTTCTTCCTCCCTCCGTTCGAGCTTGATCCGCTCCATGCGAGGGAGACGCTAGGAACAACTTCTCACAGCCGCGCCAAGGGACTTGGTCTTTTTTTGCTAAAACAAAAGCGAAGACCGGGGTACGCCGCAGCGGCCAGCGACGGCCAACGGCGGTCAGCGGCGACCATCGTCGGCTGCGCGACGAAGAGGAAGACGAGAGGAAGGTGGTGGCTGGAGCAGGAGAAGCGAGGGAGAGGATGCCACAGGGGGATTCTTGCCGAGGTCTATTTCAAGCCCTGCCAGCAATCGCTATGTAAGGTCCTCTTCTTTCCCTTCCTCGCTCTCGCATCTCTTCTCGTCTTTTTCCCGTCCAGACCCTTCCTTCCTCCCCGTTGCTCTTATACCCACCGGTACCCCCCTTCGTCGCTACCCCGCGCGCGCCTCTCTTCCTCTCTTTTTTTCTGTGTGTACGGAACTCTCGGTTTTAGCTCGCGAACAGCCTCGGACTGAGACGATCGGAGGAGCCATACTGCCCCGAAGGCTTCGACGGCATGCGCTCCTCCATTTTGATACCTCTAGGACAGTGATCCTCATGCATTTCG